TGTGTTTTGAAGTGCAGTTTTTCTCCCTGATACTATATTTTCATGATTTTTCCTTTCAATTTCCTTATATAATTGAATGTGAGGACATAATAGGCACTTGCTAGAGTCTGGAGTCTCGACCTTCTCTTCATTTTTGGGTGAAGACTGGTTAAAGATCAAGTCCAATTTTCCTGTCATCATCCTTTACATGTTGACTTTCGAAATTCCTTTCCTTAACTTCCGACAATTTTGTGTCACGTGTTTATATTCATTCATTGTAATTTGTTGAGTTATTCTGTAATTTCCCCTTCACTTTATGGAATTTTGTTTTCTATTCCATATTACAGCGTCCTTTGGGTTATAGTCTGGCAGTGTGTGTGTATGTGTGAGAGTGTGTGTGTGTGAGTGAGAGAGAGAGAGTGTGTGTAATTACCTAAGTGTAGTTACAGGATGAGAGCTACGCTTGTGGTGTCCCGTCTTCCCAGCACTCCTTGTCATTTAACGCTTTGAAACTACTGGCGGTCTTGGCCTCCACCACCTTCTCACCTAACTTGTTCCAACCGTCTACCACTCTGTTTGCGAAAGTGAATTTTCTTATATTTCTTCGGCATCTGTGTTTAGCTAGTTTATATCTATGACCTCTTACCTACACTATGAAAGTGTGTGTGTGTATGTATGTATTTGTGTGTATATTTATGCACTTGTGTGTGTGTAAGAAACGGTAAAAATTAAAAGCTAAAATCATAACATCTTGAATTATATTTAAAGTGGAACTCTCATTAATGTTTTTAATAAATTAAGTATTGATAAACAAAAGTGTGATAGAGATGGGTTGGGCAAGCCATTCTCTCAGCTTGTACGCCCCGTTTTTATACGTTACGGCTTCAAACGTACAAATTACAAAGAACTTTAAAAAGTAGATGCTCACAAAAATCCAAGTTTCTATTCATTGGAAGGTTTCATTGGGAATGTTGCACCTTGAAATTCCATTAGGTATGTTGCACTTTGTATTTCTTCGATGTGGAAAATCGTGATAACAGGGTGGTGTTAGAGCCCAGTCAAGTGTTCAGTGGAAGATATAAGATATTAATTTATGGGAAATTTATCGCGGAAAGTTATAAAATTCACAATGGCTTCCTAAAATGAAATATAAATGAATTAAGCCTTTCAAAATAGTGTTTGTTAAGGATGCACATTTACTGTTCGGATACAAGTATATGAATGGTTTTAGGCGATACTTTTGAACTCATAATGTACGATGAATTTCGTGCAGGGAATTGAATACAAAAATATTGCATAGAAGTTTATTTCTTAAATTATATTTACACGATTATAACTCTCAGTTCTATATATTATGATCTGAACGTCCTGATGTGGGTGTGGTCCTAGCCATAGTAGGGCTGGGGTGTGGTGTGCTGGATCTGGCCCTCGTAGGTCACCTGGGCCACGTAGCCGGAGTCGCCATTGACAGTGTAGGTCACCTTCTCCAGACGACCGTCGGGAAGCAGCACATAGTAGGAGCCCTGGGTGTTGGGACCATCACGGGTCTCGTCTTGGCCGAAGTCGTTGCCGGAAGCGTCGTCCTTCACTTTCCAGCTGAAGGAGTACCGAGCAGGAGCCTGCAATAATAACAGTAACATCAGAATACAATACGTGTCTCACCAGAGCAGTCTCAGCCAGACTCATGTGTCACATATGATAAAGTTATGATAGTATTGGTCACTTGCTTGTTTAGACCATTGTCACAGAGACATGTGGGCAGCCTTGCCCACTGTGGGTTATACTCACCTCCGTAGAAGGGACGCCGTATATAGGTCGTGGATAGTGAGAAGGAGGAGGAGGTTCGGGACGGGCCAAGGCGACCATGACAAGAGCCGCGATCAACACAACCTGAAAACAGTTTGTAAATTTAATCTAAACATTTATTCTATGCAAAGTTTCTAAATCTTAAATATATTTTTTTTATATTCATATTTATATTTGATATGTTATAAATTGGAGTACTATTATTAATGCAAGAATTTTACTTGACTTGATATTTAACTAATACAGTTCAGTGGGCAAATGCCTATGTGTTTATTTTTTTCATACAAATGTGAGATCATTTTAGCAACTGTTATGTTATTTCTACGAAGTCATGATTCAAACACCCCACTGAATTATTACTCCTATTTATTCACAGTAATTGATAAATGCAGAACACATGACAAGTAACCTATGTATTGTAATGGTTATTTTATTCCTATCTTAGACCATCACGAGTGTGAATAACAAAATATTTACTGAAACAGAACAAAATTACGTTTCACTATATGATGTTATATTTAAAAATAGACTCTTCATTATTAATTTACTCATTTATAAATAGAGTCATGAATAATATAAAATATCTCTTAAAATAAAAATGCTTTAAGAGAGGTTAGCACTGTACCTTGAGAGACATTCTTGGTGAGGATGACTTACCGGACTGATGTTCTGTGAGGGATGCCACCTGTTTATATACTGGAGGATGACACCCCGCGGGCCGTGACGTCACGGCCTTCCAAGTGAAGAGGTGTCTCGGTCAAGGACATTGACGAGTGTTATATATAATATGGAAAAACTTCATCACGTAACAATTATTTGTGAGGAAATTCACACTATTCCTTATTGATATAAAAAAAAACTTCAATTATTTCCAAGAGTCAAATAAATATTTCAAGGCACAACACTCTACATTTTATAGTACAGTGCCTAATACTAAACTTTCTAATTTAAAAATCCTAATAGTACCTGAACAGAACAATATCAAGTAGAAAAATGACACCCGATGTCTTAAAACTAACATTTCTAGTTAGGAATAAGAGTTCTGTATTTACTTTATTAGGAATATTCACACATAATTTTTATATTAAGATTTCAAATGAACATAACGACTCTTCTGAAGATGTATTATTAAATACGAAAGTACTTAAGGAAATTCCTGTTTCAATTCTTCCTTCGTGGTCTGACACTCACATTTATCATCACGTGTTAATTTTTGTGATTTACACACATAACACCCAAATCTGTTTCACATTCAGATTTCACAATTTCAGGATCGTCAAACAGATATTTGTTGTTTCTATTACAATTTCCCTGGCTTAAAACTCTGAATTTGTCAGGATTAAACTGCAGCTGTAAATCAAATTTAAAAGTCCAATTTGCCCTAATTTGATTTTTAAACTTTTGTTGAGATATTTTCCTAAACTATTTGTGAATCATTGCTTAAATTGCTAATTTTGTTCTTCTATCATGAGTTTATTGTAATATATGAATGGTAAACTGAGGTTCTAGCACAAAGCTCAGATGAACTCCTCTTCCAACGGTTTCTCAACAGATTTGACTAAATTTATGGATACAAGCAATTCACATTGTAATAAGTATATCCTTTTGCAACTTAAATAAACCTCGCTTCCCTTAAATCCATTTTCTCTACCTCAATTACCTTGATTTCAATGTAATTCTTATGTTCGATTCTGAGTTCGTGTTTCAATTAGATTTCAATTTTTATTATTATTAATTTTGTCTTCTCCTACTTTCCACGTTTGCCTGTAAACGTTGCCTATTAAACTAGTTGTTGTTTATTTAAATATATACATCATCTGAGCCTCAATACATTTACGTCAGACCAGTTCGAGTATTTGTTTGACTCTGTAACAACTACTGCATAGCTACGAATGCATATTCTTCAAGTAGTCCTATATTCTCATGTTATCCTGTCTTTTGAAGTGCAGCTCCTCTCCCTGATACTATATTTTCTTGATTTTTCCTTTCAATTTCCCAATATAATTGAATGCGAGGACATTCAATTATATTTTCTTGCTAGAGTCTGGAGTCTCGACGTTCTCTTCATATTTAGCTGAAGACTGGTCCTAGATCAAGTCCAATTTCCCTGTCATCATCCTCTACATGTTGAATTTCGAAATTCCTTGCTTTAACTTCCGATAATTTTGTGTCACGTGTTTATATTCATTCATTGTAATTTCTTGACTGATACATGACATTTTAGGTAATATCACTTTCACTTCATGGAATCTTGTTTTCTATTCCATATTACAGCGTCCATTGGGTTATAGTCTGTCAGTGTGTGTATATGTGTGAGAGTGTGTGTGTGTGTGAGAGAGAGAGAGTGTGTGTGTGTACTCACCTAGTTGTGTCTGCAAGATCGAGCATTGACTTTTGGATCCCGCCTTTCGAGCATCGGTTGTTTACAACAATGACTCCGGTCCTATTTCCCTATCATACCTGGTTATAAAATTATGAATAGTATTTGCTTCCACAACTTGTTCCTTTAGTGCATTCTATTTTCATGTGTACATTCCAGTGCATGTGTGTGTGTGTGTGTGTGTATGTGTTTGTGTGTATCTTTATGCACTTGTGTGTGTGTGTAAGAAACGGTAGAAATTAAAAGCTAAAATCTTGAATTATATTTAAAGTGGAACTCTCATTAATTCTTTTAGTAAATTAAGTATTGATAGACAAAAGTGTGGAAGAGATGGGTTGGGCAAGCCATTCTCTCAGATTGTACGTCCCGTTTTAATACGTTAGGGCTGTCAACGTACAGATTACAAAGTACTTTAAAAAAGCAGATGCTCACAAAAATCCACGTTTCTATTCATTGGGTATGTTGCACCTTGTATTTTTTCGTTGTGGGAAATCGTGAGAACAGGGTTGTGGGAGAGCCCAGTCAAGTGTTCAGTGGAAAATACAAAATATTATTTTATTTGGAATTTATCGCGAAAAGTTATAAAATTGACAATGGCTTCCTAAAATGAAATATAAATGAATTAAGCCAGTCAAAATAGTGTTTGTTAAGGATGCACATTTACTGCCTGGATATAGGTATACTAATGGTTTTATGTGATACTTTTTAAGGCATAATGTACGATGAATTTCGTGCAGGGAATTGAATACAAAAATATTGCATAGAAGTTTATTTGTTAAATTATATTTACACGATAATTCCTCTCAGTTCTATATATTATGGCCAGAACGTCCTGATGTGGGTGTTGACCTAGCCATAGTAGGGCTGGGGTGTTGTGTGCTGGACCTGGCCCTCGTAGGTCACCTGGGCCACGTAGCCGGAGTCGCCGTTGACAGTGTAGGTCACCTTCTCCAGACGACCGTCGGGAAGCAGCACATAGTAGGAGCCCTGGGTGTTGGGACCATCACGGGTCTCGTCTTGGCCGAAGTCGTTGCCGGAAGCGTCGTCATTGACTTTCCAGCTGAAGGAGTACCGAGCAGGAGCCTGCAATAATAACAGTAACATCAGAATACAATACGTGTCTCACCAGAGCGGTCTCAGCCAGACTCATGTGTCACATATGATAAAGTTATGATAGTATTGGTCACTTGCTTGTTTAGACCATTGCCACAGAGACAGGTGGGCAGCCTTGCCCACTGTGGGTTATACTCACCTCCGTAGAAGGGACGCCGTATATAGGTCGTGGATAGTGAGAAGGAGGAGGAGGTTCGGGACGGGCCAAGGCGACCATGACAAGAGCCGCGATCAACACAACCTGAAAACAGTTTGTAAATTTAATCTAAACATTTATTCTATGCAAAGTTTCTAAAGCTTAAATATATATTTTTTTATATTCATATTTATATTTGATATGTTATAAATTGGTGTATTATTATTAATGCAAGAATTTTACTTGACTTGATATTTAACTAATACAGTTCAGTGGGCAAATGCCTATGTGTTTATTTTTTTCATACAAATGTGAGATCATTTTAGCAACTGTTATGTTATTTCTACGAAGTCATGATTCAAACACCCCACTGAATTATTACTCCTATTTATTCACAGTAATTGATAAATGCAGAACACATGACAAGTAACCTATGTATTGTAATGGTTATTTTATTCCTATCTTAGACCATCACGAGTGTGAATAATAAAATATTTACTGAAACAGAACAAAATTACGTTTCACTATATAATGTTAATATTTATAAATAGACTCTTCATTATTAATTTACTCATTTTTAAATAGAGTCATGAATAATATAAAATATCTCTTAAAATAAAAATACTTTAAGAGAGGTTAGCACTGTACCTTGAGAGACATTCTTAGTGAGGATGACTTACTGGACTGATGCTCTGTGAGGGATGCCACCTGTTTATATACTGGAGGATGACACCCCGCGGGCCGTGACGTCACGACCTTCCAAGTGAAGAGGTGCCTCGGTCAAGGACATTGACGAGTGTTATATATAATATGGAAAAACTTCATCATGTAACAATTATTAGCGAGGAAATTCACACTATTCCTTATTGATATATTTAAAACAAATCACTTCAATTATTTCCCAAGAGTCAAATAAATATTTCAAGGCACAACACTCTACATTTTATAGTACAGTGCCTAATACTGAACTTTCTAATTTAAAAATCTTAATAGTACCTGAACAGAACAATGTCAAGTAGAAGAATGACACCCGATGTCTTACAACTAACATTTCTAGTAAGGAATAACAGTTCTGTATTTACCTTATTAGGAATATTCACACATAATTTTTATATTAAGATTTCAACTAAACATAACGACTCTTCTGAACATGTAATAATAAATACGAAAGAACTTACGGAAATTCCTGTGTTAAATCTTCCTTTGTGGTCTGACATTGTCACATCTTTCATCACGTGTTAATTTTCGTGATTTGCACACATAACACGCAAGCGTGCTTCACAATCAGATTTCGCAATGTCAGGATTGTCAAACTGATATTTGCTGTCTCTATTACTATTTTCCCTATTTCCCTAGCTTAAAACTCTGAATTCGTCAGTATTAAACTGCAGCTGTAAATCAAATTTAAAAGTCCAGTTTTCCTTTACTTTGTTTTTTTTTTTAACTTTTCTTGAGATATTTTCCTAAACTACTTGTGGATCATTGCTCAATTTACTAATTTTGTTCATCTATCATGAGTTTATTGTAATATATGAATGGTAAACAGAGGTTCTAGCACAAAGCTCAGATGAACTCCTCATTCAACGGTTTCCCAACATATATAACTAAATTTATGAATACAAAGGACCCTTTGAAATAAGTATATCATTTTGCAACTTAAATTAACATCGTTTCCCTTAAATCCGTTTCCTTTACCTCAATTACCTTGATTTCAATATAATGCTTTTGTTCGATTCTGTTTCAATTAGATTTCTTTTTTATTATTATTAATTTTGTCTTCTTCTACTTTCCACGTTTGCCTGTAAACGTTGCCTATTAAATTAATTGTTGTTTATTTAAATATATACATCATCTGAGTCTCAATACATTTACGTCAGACCAGTTCGAGTATTTCTTTGACCCCTGTAACAACTACTGCATAGCTACTAATGCTCATTTTTCACGTAGTCATATATTTCTCATGCTATTCTGTCTTTTGAAGTGCAGTTTCCTCTCCCTGATACTATATTTTCCTGATTTTTCCTTTCAATTTCCTAATGTAATTAAATGCGAGGACATAATGGACACTTGCTAGAGTCTGGTGTCTCGACGTTCTCTTCATATTTAGCTGAAGACTGGTCCTAGATCAAGTCCAATTTCCCTGTCATCATCCTTTACATGTTGACTTTGTAAATGCGTTTCCTTAACTTCCGGTAATTTTGTGTCACGTGTTTATATTCATTCATTGTAATATATTGACTTATACAAGACATATTTAGTAATTTCACTTCATGGAATCTTATTTTCTATTCCATATTACAGCGTCCATTGGGTTATAGTCTGCCAGTGTATGTGTGAGATTGTGTGTGTGTGTGTGTGAAAGAGAGAGTGTGTGTGAGTATGTGTTTGTGTGTATATTTATTCACTTGTGTGTGTAAGAAACAGTAGAAATTAAAAGCTAAAAAATAAAATTCTGAAATATATTTAAAGTGGAACTTCATTAATGCTTTTAGTAAATTAAGTATTGATAGACAAAAGTGTGTTCGGCAAGCCATTCTTTCAGCTTATACGTCACGTTTTTATACGTTAGGGCTGCCAACGTACAAATTACAATGTACTTTAAAAAGCAGATGCTCACAAAAATCCAGATTTCTATTCATTGGAAGGTTTCATTGGGTATGTTGCACCTTGGAATCTAATTAGGTATGTTGCACCTTGTATTTTTGTTGTTGTGAGAAATCGTGAGTTGAGGTTGTGGGAGAGTCCAGTCAATTGTTCAGTGGAACATATAAAATATTATTTATGGGGAATTTATCGCGACAAGTTATAAAATTGACAATGGCTTCCTAAAATGAAATATAAATGAATTAAGCCAGTCAAAATAGTGTTTGTTAAGGATGCACATTTACTGCCCAGATATAGGTATACTAACGGTTTTATGTGATACTTTTTAAGGCATAATGTACGATGAATTTCGTGTAGGGAATTGAATACAAAAATATTGCATAGAAGTTTATTTGTTAAATTATATTTACACGATAATTCCTCTCAGTTCTATATATTATGGCCAGAACGTCCTGATGTGGGTGTTGACCTAGCCATAGTAGGGCTGGGGTGTAGTGTGCTGGACCTGGCCCTCGTAGGTCACCTGGGCCACGTAGCCGGAGTCGCCGTTGACAGTGTAGGTCACCTTCTCCAGACGACCGTCGGGAAGCAGCACATAGTAGGAGCCCTGGGTGTTGGGACCATCACGGGTCTCGTCTTGGCCGAAGTCGTTTCCGGAAGCGTCGTCCTTCACTTTCCAGCTGAAGGAGTACCGAGCTGGAGCCTGCAATAATAACAGTAACATCAGAATACAATACGTGTCTCACCAGAGCGGTCTCAGCCAGACTCATGTGTCACATATGATAAAGTTATGATAGTATTGGTCACTTGCTTGTTTAGACCATTGTCACAGAGACATGTGGGCAGCCTTGCCCACTGTGGGTTATACTCACCTCCGTAGAAGGGACGCCGTATATAGGTCGTGGATAGTGAGAAGGAGGAGGAGGTTCGGGACGGGCCAAGGCGACCATGACAAGAGCCGCGATCAACACAACCTGAAAACAGTTTGTAATTTAATCTAAACATTTATTCTTCGCAAAGTTTCAAAATCTTAAATATATATTTTTTTTATTCATATTTATATTTGATATGTTATAAATTGGTGTATTATTATTAATGCAAGAATTTTACTTGACTTGATATTTAACTAATAAAGTTCAGTGGGCAAATGCCTATGTGTTAATTTTTTTCATACAAATATGAGATCATTTTAGCAACTGTTATGTAATTTCTACGAAGTCATGATTCAAACACCCCACTGAATTATTACTCCTATTTATTCACAGTAATTGATAAATGCAGAACACATGACAAGTAACCTATGTATTGTAATGGTTATTTTATTCCTATCTTAGACCATCAGGAGTGTGAATAATAAAATATTTACTGAAACAGAACAAAATTACGTTTCACTATATGTTGTTATATTTAAAAATAGACTCTTCATTATTAATTTACTCATTTTTATATAGAGTAATAAATAATATAAAATATCTGTTAAAATAAAAATGCTTTAAGAGAGGTTAGCACTGTACCTTGAGAGACATTCTTGGTGAGGATGACTTACTGGACTGATGCTCTGTGAGGGATGCCACCTGTTTATATACTGGAGGATGACACCCCGCGGGCCGTGACGTCACGACCTTCCAAGTGAAGAGGTGCCTCGGTCAAGGACATTGACGAGTGTTATATATAATATGGAAAACGTAATCATGTAACAGTTATTTGCGAGGAAATTCACACTATTCCTTATTGATATATTTAAAACAAATCACTTCAATTATTCCCAGGAGTCAAATAAATATTTCAAGGCACAACACTCTACATTTTATAGTACAGTGCCTAATACTGAACTTTCTAATTTAAAAATCTTAATAGTACCTGAACAGAACAATATCAAGTAGAAGAATGACACCTAATGTCTTACAACTAACATTTCTAGTAAGGAATAACAGTTCTGTATTTACCTTATTAGGAATATTCACACATAAGTTTTATATTAAGATTTCAAATGAACATAGCGACTCTTCTGAATATGTATTATTAAATACGAAAGTACTTAAGGAAATTCCTGTTTCAATTCTTCCTTCGTGGTCTGACACTCACATTTTTCATCACGTGTTAATTTTTGTGATTTACACACATAACACCCAAATCTGTTTCACATTCAGATTTCACAATTTCAGGATCGTCAAACAGATATTTGTTGTCTCTATTACAATTTCCCGGGCTTAAAACTCTGAATTTGTCAGGATTAAACTGCAGCTGTAAATTAAATTTAAAAGTCCAATTTGCCCTTACTTTGATTTTTAAACTTTTGTTAAGATATTTTCCTAAACTATTTGTGAATCATTGCTTAATTTGCTAATTTTGTTCTTCTACCATAAGTTTATTGTAATATATGAATGGTAAACAGAGGTTCTAGAACACAGCTTAAATGAACCCCTCTTTCAACGGTTTCTCAACAGATTTGACTAAATTTATGAATAGAACCAATTCACTTTGTAATAAGTATATCCTTTTGCAACTTAAATAAACATCGCTTCCCTTAAATCCATTTTCTCTACCTCAATTACTTTGATTTCAATATAATGCTTTTGTTTGATTCTGAATTTCTGTTTCATTTAGATTTCGTTTTTTTTTTTTAATTTTGTCTTCTCCTACTTTCCACGTTTGCCTATTAAACTAATTGTTTTTATTTTAATATATACATCATCTCAGCTTCAATACATTTACGTCAGACCAGTTCGAGTATTTCTTTGACTCTGTAACAACTACTGCATAGCTACGAATGCATATTTTTCACGTAACCATGTATTTTCGTGCTATTCTGTCGTTTGAAGTGCAGTTTCCTCTCCCTGATACTATATTTTCTTGATTTTTCCTTTCAATTTCCAAATATAATTGAATGCGAGGACATAATGGGCTCTTGCTATAGTCTGGAGTGTCGACGTTCTCTTCATTTTTGGCTGAAGACTGGTCCTAGATTAAGGCCAATTTCCCTGTCATCATCCTTTGATGTTGTTGTTGTTGTTGACTTTCGAAATTCCTTTCCTGAATTTCCGATAATTTTGTTT